GCTCATGCACGGGTATGAATATTTATCAAGTAAATATATTGTAATATATTCTAATTTATTAATTTACATAGATATTTACTTTTAATTATAAATTAATTTATAATTTATATGTATAACTTATATTAATAATATTAGATTATTTTAATTCGACATATGATTTAGTAGATGTTATATTTAATCGGTTAGGTTGCTTTTTTGGGTCAATATTCGATTTGGTTACACTTGTGTATTTTAGATTGCATCTATTTTTCTGAATTCAACTATAATATTTTCGTTCTAAATATGCTAAAACTTTAATTATTATTGTATTTAGATTGGCTATCGTCTTATATATGTAAATATATTTTAATAAGATTATGTATAACTTAATATATATTATGCTTATAATGAAATTTAAAATAAACTGAAATTATGACACAAAATTATATAAATGAATATAACGATAATACTCTGAAGTCTCATTCATATATATATATATAAATTTTACAAAGACAGTAAATTATAACAGTTGGTTAATATTTTTTTTCTATATTGATATTTTTGAGTCATCATGTAATCTATATGTATAAAAATAAATAAATAATTATTTTTAAATTATATGTTTTTGTTGTAGTTAGATCTTTTATTTTTGATATAAGTTAGATTAGTTCCATCACTTGTTTTGTGAGTATATTGAGTTATATATATTTTTCTAATTAAATCAAATCAAATTAGTTATATTTACCGCTTAATGCAAGTATTTTATAAGATTTTTAATAATTGGACATATGTTGATTTTTAAGATATATTAAAAATAAAGTGACGATCAATAAGAATTTACAATCATAAATATGAGTATAAAGATAAACATTTGAAATTTCATGAGAACATATTAATATTTACAATAATTAAATATTTATAAATTCTAAATTATTTTNGTTGTAAATACTTGAAGATGATGAGGTTGAGAGAGTAAAAATGCCATTTTCGAAAAAAAATTCAAAAAACATATAAATGGCATTTTCGTAAATAAAATGAAGATGTGGGGTGAATAGGACAAAAACAAGATGAGTCAAAAGAAGAGGTTAGTTTTGTGTTTGACTTGGAGTTTTGAGTCAAATTTGCAAAAAGCCCAACATTAATTCCTAAAAAAGGGAACAAAATATTTAGAAGCTATCGTCTCATCTTCCTTGTCCTCGATTTCGTTGTGGAAATAAAAGATTCTCATTAATGCATATAATTAGAGAAATCTTTTTTTAGAGTTTCAGAAGTTAGAAACGTAACCAAAAATTCAACCATCACAACTAGAGAGAGAGAGAGAGAGAGAGAGTATAATGTTTCACAGCGAAACGCCGTGGTTTCATGATCGCCGGCGTATACTTCTTCTAGGTGTTTTGATTCTGATCACGTTTAGTTTGGTTTCCTTATCTCATGGAGTCTCCTCCTCTTGTCATCATCATCCATCTTCAACCTCATTTCAAGGTTCCTCACATTATTATTTTTTTAAGTTTTGTTTTCTCCACATTTTCTAAATAATAATCTCATAAAAACCCTATCTTCTTATGAATACACTTATTTGATGACAACGTATTTATATAAATTTTTTTTTTCATTTTGAAGGATTGAGGAGGCAAATCCTGGAAGGAGCAAATGGGACGTTGGTGTTAGCGGCGGAGAGGACACGGCGGCCTGATCCTCTCAACCATTTCAATATCTATACCGATGGTTGGAACGTTACTAATTCTCACTACATCGCCGTGAGTCCTCCTCTAATTATTTTCCCTATATTTCAAAAACGTCAAACTCACCAATGTGTTTTAATAACTCTTCACTTTCATGCGTTACAGTAATGAAAAAGACATCTATATATGTTTCAAATTAATATTATATGTTTTATTTCAGTCCGTTGGATTTTCTGCTGTGCCATTCATAGTAATATCAATCGTGTGGTTCGTATTGCTTGGACTCTTCCTCATCTGCTCGTGCCTTTGTTGCTGTTGTTGCGGCTGCGGTCGCCGGAGCTACGGCTACTCTCGCGTCTGCTACACTCTCTCTCTCGTCTTCCTCCTCCTCTTCACCATCGCCGCCGTGTAACCTTCTTCTTCCTTCACAATATATATCACAAACAAATTATTAAATCTTGACTAAATTTTTCGAAACAATCTTTTTTATTTCTTTCTTTCAGGATTGGGTCTGCCATGTTGTACACTGGACAAAGAGAGTTCTACGGTAGCGTGGAGAAGACGTTTATGTACATTGGGAATCAAGCAGCTAATGTTTTGACAAAGCTAACAAGCTTGTGGAACTCTATTCAATCTGCTAAAGACATGAAGCTCGATGGACATAACCTTTTTCCTCCAGAGTTTATAGGTAACATTGATCAATTCAACAACATGATCAAGATGTCTAACATCTCCTACCCTGACCGTGTCGCTAACCAGACAATCAGTTATCTCACCGGAGCACTAAACCCTGTGTAAGCATTAGTTAAACACATACCTTGCGTTACAAGTTATAACTGAATATAGAAGCTCTGTTTAGTTATCTGACTGGTTTACTTTTTCTATTGTTTTATTTTTCAGGAGATTAGTGTTAAATGTGATCGCTGGTGTTATGCTCGCAGTTGCATTCCTCGGACTCTGTAAGTTCAAAACCCTAGAACATTTCTGATACCTTGCATTACAAGTTTGATTGTTTTATTTGTTTAACATATTTGTGATTTTGAACAGTATTTTCCTTCTGTGGACTGCGAGTTCTTGTCTACCTGTAAGTTACTACATAGACTTTATATTATATGACATTCAAATGAAATGGTTAACACCATTAATGTATAATCTACATGCAGCTTAGTAATTGTGGGTTGGATTCTCGTCACAGCAACGATCCTCCTAAGCGCAGTCTTCCTTGTCTTCCACAAGTAATCATACTCTGTTTATCATCATCACTTAATTTGAACTCAGAATACAAAGTTTTATAATAGCTTTTTATCAAACTAATGATGTTATTACTTAATTAAATCACCAGTGTGGTTGCGGACACATGTATGGCAATGGACCAATGGGTGCATGATCCAGCAGCTGATTCAGCGTTGAGCCAGCTTCTTCCATGTGTAGACCCTAAAACCGTTGGAGACACGTTGGATATGACCAAGACGTTGACCTCTACGGCCGTTGACATGACTAATGCGTACACTGTCAATGTGAGTAACAATGATCAGTTCCCACATAATAACCCTTTTTACCATAACCAGTCTGGTCCGCTCGTCCCTCTTCTCTGTAACCCTCTCGACGAACATCACAACCTACGTCCTTGTGCTCCTAACGAAATTCTCCTCGCTGATGCTTCTCAGGTACACACCTATGTCATATTTAATAGTACAATTACAAGAGAGTAAAATAATGTTAATACGTTTTTTTAATTTGGTAAAAAGATATACAAAGGGTTTGTGTGTCAAGTGAACGCAGAAGGGATCTGCACAACGCAGGGTAGGTTAACTCCAGCTTCATACGACCAGATGATGGGTGCTATCAACGTTGGGTTCACGTTGGACCAGTACGGTCCGTTCTTGGCTAGTATTGCTAATTGCACTTTCGCCCAAGACACCTTCAGAGACATAACCACCAAGAACTGCCCTGGACTCAGTATAACTAGCCAGTGGATCTACGCAGGACTTGCGTCACTCTCTGGCGCAGTCATGTTCTCGCTCATCTTTTGGATGATTTTCGTCAGAGAGAGACGTCACCGTTCTCATACTAAGAAGTCTATGGTCCAGATGAATAGGTTCTGAGTATTGCAGACAAAAAAGCCCATTCATTGATGGAGTGAGAGCATATTATGTTTTTTTTTTGTTGGAAACGTTAATGACTTTAATAAAAATATAAAAAAACTCCGTTTAGAAATGAATTACTCTAATCTCTATTACACTCTTCACTAATCAGTGACATATATAAATCAACAACACACATGTTTCAACGCTTTTGTTGTGATGATTAGTCTGAAAAATATGTATATAGATATAGTGTGTAGTAAACTCTTGAACAAGAAGAACTTGAATCGCAGCAAAATTGCGTATATAATAATAATATTACAAGAATCTGGTCTGTATACATAGAAGTGATAGGGTATGAATTATGATTAAACATCTCGTTACCTTACCTGAAACAATTCACAAACCCGGTAATCTCTTAGCCTGAACAGAGGCCATTGATCAAGATCCTCTAAAGGTGGCCTGTAGCAGTCACAAAACTGAAGACTTCGTATTGAACTATAAATCTATCAATCTGATTTGCTTCTGAGACTGTAAATGTTGCCAAGGGTCCCCACGATGCTAACCACCACGGCCAAGATCAGCATCAACCACGACACATATCTCTCCACAAGGCTTAAAGCATTGGTCTGTTTCCCTAACCGTAATGCAATCAAAGCAGGGAAGGTAAAACCAAGTGACACCGCTGATGTTGCCCCTGTGAATTTAAACGCAGTCCATATATTCGGGATCATGGTCGAGCCAATGTAAATAAGAGCCAGCAAGACAACCGTGAGCCCCAAAGACTTCTTCTTGGTTTCCGCTAGAGGAGGAGAGCCTTCAAACAACAAAGTGTTGACGGTTTCTCTCAATGAGAAATGGACCACAGGGAAGACGAGTACCAGATGAAGAATGTATCCTATCCTCACAATGTAATTCACCGCAGAGCTGAAACGGATACCAAGATCCTGATCAAAGTTAGTCAAGATATCCGATTCAGTGTCCTGACCAAAGAGAAGATAGCCAGAGACAGCAGTTGAAGCATATACAACAACACAAATAGCTGTTGTAATCCTCCCAACACTATTCATCTTATGAGGCGACCTACCTTCAAGCTCGTTATAAATCGGCTGAACATTGAAATGACAAACATAAGCGTTTGACATAATCGGAATCACCACGAGAAGATCCAAAATCGCTTTCTTAGAACCAAAATCAGGAGCCAACCTCGGAGTATCAACAGTTCCTTCAACAAGCTTAATCGCCGCAACAGCGAAACAAACAACAACGAACACAACAGCAAGAGCAACAGAAGCAGCAGAAGTAACGCTCAATGAATCAATCTTGTTCAAAGCACAGAGCGGAGCCAAGAAGACAACCATAACAACCAAAATCAAGACTTTACGGTGATCCCAAAACCCGTTACCTAACCACTGATCCAAAACACCAATGTGATGAAGAGAACCAGACATAACATCTCCCATGATGATTAAATAAACAACGAGAACGCCACCGTTGTTTACAATGATGCAAATCTCGGACAAAACCCTAGCGGTTTTCCCCATCGCGAACTGAACGACCTCGCCGTAAGATCTGGAGTTGTAGAGAACTGAGAATCTAACGAGAAGCTCGACGCTGATCTCGGATAAGATGGCCATGAGGATGATCAAGAGGAAGCCGAGAACCAAGCCGAGGACTTTCATGGTGGCGGGTAATGCCATGATCCCGGCGCCGATGATTGATGTGGTGAGGTTGAAAACGGCGCCGTAGATCCCAGATCCATTTTGGCTCGATTTGGTATCGGCGAGGGGGTAATTAGAGACGTTGAAGTCTAGATCGTCGTCGGCGAGAACGAAGGTTTCGTGGTCGGAAGGAAGCAGCTTGGAAGTGGGTTTGGCATTGTGAGGGGTCTGTTTCTGAAGCTCGAGGTAAGAGTTTTTGGAGATGGCAGAGTAACTGCTATCCATTTTCTTCCCTCCAGATCTGATCTGATTTAAAAACAAATCGAATTGCGAGATCGAAAGAGAGAGAGTTTTGTTTGCGTTAGACGAAATGAAATCAAAAGCTGTGGGGGTTAAGGTAAGGAGTCAAACAATGTCTGGATTGGTCGTTGGTCCTGCCTCGTCGGAGATTTGAAGGAGGGAGAGATAATAGTTTGGAAGGAGAGAGAGAGAGAGAGAGAGAGAGAGAGAGGTAAAGTTTCTATCTTACTATTGGTGCTTCTGCTTCACACGTGGCCTCCTCTTTTAATTATAAACAAAAACTTTCTTCTTCTTTTTTTGTACTTCAATTAAGTATCTTATTAATTGGTGATTACCAATTTTAATTTTAGGCGTTTTGTTTAAATATTTTACACAAGTCATAAAATATAACTAGGTGATTTTCCCGTGCTCATGCACGGGTATGAATATTTATCAAGTAAATATATTGTAATATATTCTAATTTATTAATTTACATAGATATTTACTTTTAATTATAAATTAATTTATAATTTATATGTATAACTTATATTAATAATATTAGATTATTTTAATTCGACATATGATTTAGTAGATGTTATATTTAATCG